AGGAGGCAAAGGTTTCTTAAACAGGACACAGAAATCCTCACCATGAGGGAAAAAATGACAAACTGACAATATTAAGAGCCTCTATTCTCCAAAGGACACCATTAAGACGACACCATTAAGCTAACGACAAAATGGGAGAGAGAGGGACTCCAATCATATAGCCACCAAAGAACTAGGATTCAGAATATTTAAAGAAATAATACAAAAAGTGACTAGAAAGTTAGTAAGAAAAATTGGCAAGGAAAAAAACCAAATGACCCAATTTTTAATAAATGGGCAAAAGACTTGAACAGGCATTCCACAACACAGTGTGTCCAAACACTCATAAATATATGAAAAGACATCTGATTTCCTTAGCCATCAGGAAAGTGCAAGATAAAACCACAACATGATGATATCATTGTTTATCCACCAAAATGGCTAAAAAGAGACAGAGAGACAATACCAAGTGTTGGCGAGGACAAGGGGCAACCAGAACACCCAAACTGATGGTGGCAGTGCCACCTGATACAAGTGCCCTGGGAACGAGTCAGTATCTAGTGATCTGAGCTGTGTACACCCCATGACCAGCAATGCCCCTCCTCCATGGACACCCTACAGAAACCAGGCACACGGTCACCAAGACACACACGGGAATGTTCACAGGAACATTTATTCGTGAACTAGCTAAAGAACTGCAAACTGCCCACATGCTCCCAGCAAAGTGGATATACTTTAGGGCAGTGAAACTACTCTGACACCGTAATGATAGTGTCATTATCTATCCGAACCCACAGGTTGTACACCCCAAGGGGGAACCATCTGTGATTACTGTGTGTCAGTGTAGGTTCACTGATGTAACCCATGCCCCACCCTGGTGGGGGATGTGGATAATGAGGGAGGGGCTAAGTGGGCGGGGACAAGGGACATGTGAGAACTCTCTGCACCTTCCTCTCAATGTAAACCTAACCTGCTCTGAAAAACAGTCTTAAAACAAGACAAACCTCAGCACAGTGGGAGGGGCAGGGGCCCCTGATGAGGAAACGGGTCAGAGTGGGGAGTGGCTGGAGAAGGGAACCCAGAGATGGCGCTGGGACCTCACCTCTTGTCCTTAGCGGGGGTCAATGGCTACAGCCTTGCCTGTAATGTTTGTACGTTTTATAAAAGGGGGAGAAAAAACACCTTAGTTGTGTAACTAAAACTAGAAACAAAACCAAAACCCTTACCTAGGGTGTGCCCATCTCCACGAGGCCATGTTTACCTTTGTTTGGGGATCAGCACCCTGTCCCCATAAAGGGCCAGAGAGCCAATCATTTATAGGCTTGAGGGTCATTTGGTCTCTGACACTAATACTCAATGCTGCCACTGGTGTGACGCACCACCTACAACACGAAAACGAGTGATGGGATGGGGTACCCTCTGCCCTGGGTCTCTCTGCAGGGGTGGGGGAGGGGCACCTGGGGAAGCCTCGCCCTCCCCACCCCACCTCTCAGAGAACTCGGCTGAGGGTTTCCTCTCCCCACCCCACACCCCTTCTCCAAGGCGCTGGGGAGCTGCTCAAGGCTGTTTTCTTTTCTTTTCTTTCTTTTGCAGAGCCTCTTCCCTAAGAAGCCTGGTAAACAGGAAGTGGCCCCCTCTGCTCAGGGCAGATGACAGTGCTGGCGGCTCACGGCTTTGGAAAAGTATTGCTGACAAACCAGGAGTTAATCAGGCAATGACCCCACACCTGGGCGAGGGAGGACTCAGCAGGCGAGCTGTCCTCAGCCCTCCCTCCACGGTCATGGTCATGGTCACTGAGAGAGGAAATGAGGAGAAGAGATCAGGGACGGACAGCGCTGTCCACAAAGCCGACACAACAGGTGCACCGGGCACAGGAGATGCAAGCGTGTAATTAAGGCCTCCAGACACCTGTTGTGAGCTCGCCCATTCACACCCCTAGCAGGTGGTTCACACCTCCAAGAAAGAAACTAACTAACAACAAAAAAAGAGGCTCAGATGAAAAGCTCTCCCTCTGCAGCCTGCAGCCACCTGACCAGCCAGCAGCTCTCACTGACATCACTGACCCTTGGGGACAACTGGGGGAGGGCCTCTAGACCAGGGGTCCTCAAACTACGGCCCGTGGGCCACATGCAAATACAAATATTGTATTTGTTCCCGTTTTGTTTTTTTACTTCAAAATAAGGTATGTGCAGTGTGCATAGGAATTTGTTCATAGTTTTTTTTAAACTGTAGTCCGGCCCTCCAACGGTCTGAGGGACAGTGAACTGGCCCCCTGTTTAAAAAGTTTGAGGACCCCTGCTCTAGACTGAGAGTCACCTGGCCATGCTGCTGCAGAGCTGTGTGACCCTGCGCAACTCCTTAGCCTCTCTGTGCCTCACGAGCTCCGTCTTTATCAGGATTCCATGGAGCAAGGCTCTGCACAGTGGCTGTGTGTGCTCAGCAAACATTTACTGAGCACCGGCTCTGTATCAGGGAGCTGTGGACACAGCAGAGAGGCAGACAGTGTGTCTGAGATTGTAGTCTGGGGCAGGGGTAAGGTGGACACTAAACCACCACGTGGACAGCACTCCCAGGGCAGCGGTGGGACGGGCTGGCAGACAGTAATGCGGGCTGCGGGAGAACAGGCCGGCCAGCTAACCTGGTGGGCGTTGGGAGTGAGCCAGTGGGAGGGGAGCTGAAGGCCTCACTTTTAGCAGCTATAACTCGGTGCTCTGGGAGACGACGGTGCCCTCTCTAGACCTGGGAGACAGGAGTGGTCCGAGCCCAGGCTCTGAGTCAGACACTGACAGTCAACTCCGGGCTCAGCTGAGTGGTCTCAGCAGGATGGTTCGTGTCCTGGTCTCCAGTTCCCTTCGGGGTGCAGAAGAGGCAACAGCATCCCGCCCCCCTTTTTGCAGGCTGCTGTGCAGCTAAAGGGGAAGACACTGCCTGGGAAGGAGCGCAGCCAGGCGCCCACAGCAGTGAGAGCTCCGTAAGACGGAGCTGGGATCTTGATTACACCTGATAGGGCAAGTCCACAAAACGTGCCTGGCAAAATGGATCAGACTGGTTCCCCCAAACCCTGTTGGCCACTGGCTTTGTCTGAAATCGGTCTCTGGTTTCCTGGACAAGCTGGTCTCCCCGAGAAGGCTCACAGCGACCCCTGCTGGCCGCCCCTCGGAACAGCCTCAAACTCCAAGCTCACAGGCACAACAAAGCAAGGTGAGCCCTGGCAGAGGCCTTCCCGTCTCCAGGGGTTGATGCAAATCCCAACAGAACAATGGCAGGGGGAAGGCACCGCATGTAATTACGCTCAGTGGACACTAATTCCCTGTCTTCTCAAAATAAATGATAAAACACAAGACCAAACAAAGTGCTGTTCCCTTGCCGTGTGGTCTTTTGTTCCCTGGGTAAGTGTCATCCTAAACAGACTGCGAACCAAGTGAAACTGTCATTTCGACGGGATACTATTTCCTGATCCACACGCGCCGTTTGGAGCAATCCCGTTTGGAGCTGGCAGGTCTTAAATTGGATTCTTTTTAAAGAGAGGAGGCATGTTAACCAAGCAGACACCATAGGCTAGGACCCGTACGCGCTGTAGCGACGCCCTCGCGCACACTCCTCTCCACTGCTATCCAGGCTGCAGGAAAACATCCCCCAGAGTGAGACCCCATCTCACCAGGCTGCCCCCACACAGGGGACCTGGCCCACAGTGAAGGCCCTGCTACTCAGAACCCGGTGGGGCCGGTGTCTTTGCTTCAACCCCGGCCAACCACGCCTGCAGGGACCCAGGCCTGCGGGAATCGTGCGCCAGCATGTGACTTAGGACGGCAGGGAGGACGGAGATTTTTAAAGCAGATCCTCTAACCAGCTTCCCTTTCTTTAAACCACCGAGTGAGAGCAAAGGGGTAGATTTCACACCAGGAAACTTCCCTCTAGTGTCTGGAACACAGAACTTAACTTTGCATCCACCGCTGACCTTGTAAAATGCTAACTGGCAATTCTAATACACCCAGCTCTTCATGCTGGAACTAGACACACACAGGCTGCATGGCCGAGGCCTGGTATGCAGAATCCTTCATTATTCACCCGTGTAGGTTTCCAGAACTCTCTTAGGTCCCATTCAAGCCTGGATGAGCTGCCTGGCTGGGGCTAATGTCACCTGCCCTTCCATTCTGAGGGTCAGAAAGGCTGCCCAGCACACTCCTGGGCATGCCTGGGCTTAAACATCCCCCTTATTCCCTCTCATAGCATCCGGGACTTGGTGCTGGGGGGCAGCTAACCAACCTGAGAAAGCGGACAGTGTGAGGTACGAGCGCAGGGCTGCAGCCCAGTGGCCCCTGCGCTGTAGCCCGTCCACACAGACTTTGTCCTGCACGGTGTTTCATTTTAAAAAGCGAATGACTTGCCAACATATTCCCCTAAAAATTCGGATTGCCAGTTTCTCTTTCCAAACGTGGGAAGAACTGGATGATCAAACCTGCATTTCTGCACATCACCGCGTCAGTCCCCGCCCGGCCTGCTCCTGCAGGTCCCCTCCTCTGCCCGGCCCGAGAGGTCTCTGCAGGGTGGCATTACTTATGTAGGGGATGCACCTTCATTTTAAAAGGTGCTCTCCACACACAGCCATGCGGCCCAGTGGTCCCCACCCTGGCTGGACTTTCCAAGGGAATCCAACGCTGTGGGTTGGGCCTGACAGGGGTAAGCCTGTAAGTCACCAGGTGATTCGAAGGGGCTGCCAAGGTGAGGAACCACTGGCTTAAACCAAAGGAGGGCCCTGAGTGGTAGAAACATCAGCAAGACCAAGGGGAGAGCTGATGGGGGAGAAGACCGCCCTTTCTACTACTTTCTGCCCCACGCTCTGGAGAGCAGAGCTGGGACTCAGAGATAAATCACAGGCAGCCACAGACGACCTTTAGAGACTACGGCGCTGGCCTCCAGGGGGGACCACCGCGGCCCCAAGGCCGCCTCCCCGAACCTCTGGCAGGTTCCCACATATGCCGTCCCCCGGACCAAACCGGGACCGAGCTGGCGCTGCTCACCTGAAGAGCTCTCGGATCTCCCGGCTGTTGGCCTGGAAGGGGATGTTCCGCACCAGGATCTTGGAGGTGGTCTGCTTTCTGGGAACTTGCTTCTTCCGAGCGGATGTCAGGGCTGGCCTGGAGTGGGGGAGGGGCCGGTCACTTGGGGGTCGGTAGCTGCTGCCTTACACTGACTTGACCACCCTCCCCCCAAACCAAGGCTGGTCTTGCCTTCAGGCGAGGGAGTTAGGGAGTGAGTGTGCACGAGGCTGCGGGCACAGGGCAGGAGGCAGCCTCCCCGGGGAATAGACCATAATCATCTTCTCCGGTCACACATCCCACCCTTGGGTGTCTCCTGCCCTTCATCCAAGAGACTTAGAGGCCACTGGGACTGAAGACAGAGCCCTGGTGAGGAGAGGCCTATCTCTCCCCAAACCCAGTCTCCTCTGTCTCGTTCCAGACGCAGGAAGACCCCAGCTGGTCCGAAGGTCTTGATGGTGAGCTTTCATCACTCACCAAGAGCACATCCAGCTTCTGCTCAGGGAGCTGGACCGGAGGGGAGGGAAGAAACTCCAACACAGCACTGCCTTTCCTGCCCCTGCTCCCGGGGACCTCCCGCTCCATGGAAGGGCCAAGGCTCACTGTGAGTTAACATCCGGGCGCAAATGCCAACTCAGCTGCTTGGGATCTGTGTGGCTGGGGCAAGTCACTTGGCCCCTAAGGCCTCAGTTTCCTTAACCATAGGGGTCTAGTAATGGTGCCGACCTCAAAATGCCTGAGGACTTAACGAGAGAGGTCATGTCAAACACTGTGCAGCGCCCACGTGTGATAAACACCCCTCTGATGACTGTTGCTACGGCCGCTTCCTGTAAGTCCGCCCCACGCCACCTCCACAGAGGCCCTCCCTACCATCTCCGCTGAAACAGGAACCCCAGCTTCACTTCTCTTCCTGGGGCCTATCGCTGTCTCACAGCCAAGGACATTCAACCACATTTCTATTCACTGTCTGTCTAGGGCTGTGCTGGCCAACAGCCCGACTCCCTAGGAACAGGGACTGAAGAAAGGTCGCCAGATCTCCACCCCTGGCCGAGTTCTCGTGTGCCCCGCGCGTGTTAGACGCTCCGCACAACCTCCGGCCATTGCGTTTCAATTCCAGGCACAGTCACCCCCAAGGTCACACGGCCCTGGACTGGAACTCACAGCTGTGGGGCTCAGGAGCCTGGACCCCGAGCTCACACCGCAGCTCGGGAACCCATCGGGTTTCCAAGGGCTCCTGTACCGAGCCTTCTTCTCGCTAAGGATGCTCTGCGCAGCACAGACCGGGAGGGGAGCACCCGGGCGGCCTGGGCTGGAATGTTAGCAGCATCAGCAGACGAAGAGGGAGGAGGCAGCAGGTGAGCTCACTGAGAGCTAGTTTGCTCCAGGACCACACAAGGACCGAGTGGCTGAAAAGTACCAAGTAAGTATCTGATACCGGTCCTAGGGCCGTTAGATGTGGTCGCTTCACCGCCTGAGGCCGGTGGATGGTAATGGCAATGGTGACGATGGCGTACACTGCGCATTCTGTGCTGGGCGCCGTGCGAAGCCCCTCACATATACTAGCCCATTTAGACCTACGGACAGTGGATATGTCGGGGCAAAACTAAAGCTCAAAAAAGCTCACTGCTTCAGGAAGCTGGGCCCTGGGCATTGGTCTGTCGCTGGTCACCACCTCTAACACCTACTGAATCTCAAGTTAACGGAGGCCGTGTGGGCACTGTTGTCTGGCTCCATAATAAAAAGCCCCATGAAGGGATGCGTCTAGGTTTCACACTTCTGGTTCGGCCCACGTGGTAGTCAGTGGCACGCCTTCCCTGGTTTACGGGCCCGGCCAAGGTAGTGGGATGTGCTTGTTTCTCCTGCCTGCGCCCCTGCCTTCCGCTGCGTGTATTAAACATTTACCCAAGGACTGGCCGGCCCCGGCCCTCAGGGAAACGGTGACAGAGCTGGCAAGCACGCCACCACCTTAATCAGGAAGGGTCGGGGAGAGGATGTAAGGGCCGTGAGACGCCCTCGGGGCACCAGCAGCGGCACCGAGAGGATGAACCCGGATGGCAGGGAAGGGAAGGCCCCGGGGACTCACTTAGTGGCTCGTTCCGAGATCCTCACTTCCAGCTTGTGGTCGTCCACGACGTGACCCTACAAGGTAAGACGACACGCTTGTCTCTCTTCCTCTTAGAAACACCCGCCCGCCCCCTGCCCTGCCCCAGGCCTGGCTTCGGCTGAGCGAGGGGACGGGAACCTTCGGGGGGACTGACCGGTCCTGGGAGGAGGGACCAGCTGGAGCCCAGGACAGAGCAGGGCTTTTCCTGGAAACGCCCGCGCTGAGCCGGCAGCAGCTGGTGGTCAGAGACCTGGTGCTCCAATGTCCTCTCGAGCCACGAGGGACTGGGACCATTCTGCCACGCGAGGGCACAGGATTTTCCCCGGCTGCGTTTTCAGCCCAGCGAGCCCCTTCGGCCCGGCTGGCGGAGTTCAGTCTGGTTTGTATGCTCTTCCAAAAAAGGTCTAAGCCCAGTGGAGCTGCATCTAAGCAAGGCTCTGAGGTCGGTCCCTCGAGGCAAAACTGGCCTATTAGGAAAATCACCCTCAAAAATCCCTTAAATCACCCATAAGACACAGCACGCACGGCTCCGTGCGAACGACTCTCTGCACAATGTGCACACGTGCGCGCACCGCGAGGACAGATGACGCTGTGCCCAGCAGAGCCCCGCGGATCCGGGTTCACACGGGCGGGGAGGAGGGCCGTGGAGCGCGCAGAGCTGACTCCCGGTGCCGCTCAGAAAACAGCAGGAACAAAACACCACGGACCCGGGTCGCCGGGCCCACCTTCCTCTGAGGCCAAGGAGCGGGCGGGAGTGTGGGGTTTGTTCTGGGTCATGCCTGCCCCTTCACTGACCGCTTGGCCCCCGTGGGCACCTGCGTGTGCGAGCCCTGCTGGAAAGAGCCTTTCAAACGGAAGGCGGAGGGAGGCCCCCAGGCCATCACGTCCCCATCATCCTACCCAAACCCAACTCAGCCCTCCGTGCAGCTGCCTTGAGTCAAGGGGAAGGTCAAGTTCTACTAGAACAACTGTACTGGCCACGTGCCCAGTTATGACCCGCAAGGCCGTTCCGTGACCAGGGAGCTCTCCTGGGACAGTCAGTCACCTGGACCGTTCCTCCAAATGAGCGAAGCTGCCCAGGGCGGTGACCCTGTAGGGCGCCTTTCCACTGTGCCCGGGCCATGCGCACCTCTGGGAGAGGAAGGAGAGCTGGGTGGTGAGCACACCCGGGCCCTTGATAACGAGCTTTGGATGGATGAATGAATGCACCACAGTGACTACAGACCCTGAGGAAGGCTCTTGGCTGCTCTTGGGCCACAGTCCCTGGAGAACTGGAGACAGCGTGGGCGATCCGAGCTCCCACTCAGTATGGAGGGCTGACGGGACCCCGCCCCCCGCCTGCCTGTGACTCGGCCCTCTCCCGAGAAACCCTTTACCTGGAGCTGCTTGAGCGCCTTCTGGGCCTGCTCCGGCTTCCTGTACTCCACGAAGCCGAACCCCATGGACAGCAGCGCCCCTGGAAGAGAGAGGCGGGAATCACGCTGCGTGGCTGGTGGGGAGGAACACAAAGAGGGAACACAAGGCCAAGTGCAAGGGCCCCTGGCCCTCGGCTTCGTATCCTCTTCCTCACACCCTCCTTCATTCCCCCTAATGTTTCAGCTCCTGGCTCGCCATTCATTACTAGTCATCTCGTAGAGTCATCCAGGGAAGCGATACAGCCACCACCCGAGGCAGGCTGCCTGGAATTAACAGATGACTGGCGTGATAATTAGCTTCGGAATAGAATTCCGCCTTTGGGAGGGAGAGGGAGCTGACGGGGACAACCATGGCAGTGACCAGCAGCAAAGCCTCTCCCGGGCAGTCTCCTGCCCTCCTGCAGGTAATGCTGAGGTGGACGTGGGCGGGACAGTCCCACACGCCCAAGGCTCACTCTAACAGTGCTTCTGACCATCGGGCATGAAGCTGGGAGAGGGAGGGAGGCGGCCTCAGGCCGTCAGACAGGACGGGGAGCTCAAACTGTATGAGCTCTGGCTTCCTGACCTCGGATGCATAGCACTAGGCGGGGTTTAGAGGACACACACACAACGTAAGACCTCTAATTGCATCTTGCCCTTTCGACAAAAAATGTGATGCGTGCCTCCCCCAGCATTTCACACACATTTCCTGAGCCTATTCTGCTTCCCCCCAAGGTGAACTCCAGGACTGGCTGGGGTCTGATGGAGGCCTCTGTCTTTTGGAACCAGCCTGTCTCTCCCGTCTCCCGCCACTGCCTTTGCCTTGCGCACTCCCGCCGGCGCTCGGCTGCTCCCACCTCCAGCCTCTGTCCCCTGCCTGCTGCCTGCTGCTTGCTGCCTCCACCTCCCAGCCTCGGGCTGACGTAAAACCTTGTGCTGGGCTGCCCCACCTGGCCCCCTCTCACTGTGCTGCAGCTACCAGCTCGTGTGTCCGTCAGGACACAGCTGTAGGCGGACTTGTGGCATCCCTGCAAATGCCACCAAACTGAAGGGAGGGGGGCTGCATGGCTGTGGAAACAAGGGGTGTTTACAGGACACACAAAACAAGATCTCTAAGAGCATCCTGCAGGAGGCCAGGGCTGGAGAGGAGACACAGCAGAGGCCGAGCAACTCGGAAAAACACCCGAGGCCGAATGGAGAGACCACAGTGGCCTCTGCATGGCCCTGGCACCCACCAACCAGTGAGGTGCGTGGCTAATGCCTCGGTGGAACCTTCCAGATGTTCTCCGTCTGGGCTAATTCTCAGAGGGGAAGGGGAGAGCCCTGGATCGGCATTTCCTGCGTTTCCCTAGCAAGTTCCCAGGACAGAGTTTCTGGGAGGGGTGGGGGGGGGGGAGTGTCTGCCACTGAACGGCGCCACCCTACCGGCCTGTGCCTGCTCCCAAACCGTCCGACAGTCCAGGGGCTGGAGTCCAGGTTCTCAGACCCTGACGTGCGAGGCTGCCCCGCTGGGCACCAGGGTCTCCGGGACACAGGAGCCAGGGCCGCTCTGCCAAGCAGGTTCGGCAGTGACAATATTTCAGAACAAGAGGACTCTCAAAACAACCCGGTGCGAGTCGCCCTTACCCCCCACCCAAAGCTCCGTTTCTTCCGGAACCATTTGGTTCCGGCTGAGGCTCTGCAGGAAGTACCTGCTTTGTTCTTCTTCCTGGAAATGGAGCAGCTCTTCACCGCGCCCACCTTGGAAAACACCTGGAAGAGAGTTAACAGGTGTCACCGCCGTTCCCGGCTGATTCTGCAACCGTCCCAGGCGGGGCCTTAAACACAGGGGTGCCCAGGCTGTCCCCTAAGTCTGTGCCGCTGACACTGACTGCGTGTCCCTTGGGTGTTGTGGGTGCCCTCCCTCCCCAGCCCCAGGCTAGTCTGGCTGCTGCTGCTGGGGTCTTGGGCGACACGTCCGCTGGACGGCCCGGCAGAGATGTCAGGCGGTGGGCTTTGGCTGCTCAACTAGATCAACACGAGCACCTGCTGACAGGCAGGCCAGGCAGCGACTACGTGAGCCGGGGGGTTCCCAGCCCGCACCCCGGAGCCATCACTCACCCCCTTCAGCGTCTCCTCAGTTGTGTCGAAGTTGAGATTTTTAATAAACAGGGTACACCCAGGAAGGCTCTCTTCCTCCTCCTCCTCCTCCTCCTCCTCCTCCTCTTCCTCCATCTTCAACGAAGAGTTGGCTGCTCCTCCCTCTGTTGGCTCTTCACCTTCGTGGGTCTCGCTGTCTGGCACTGGATCCCCATCAAAACAACAGAAACAAAAAAAGCACCCAAAATCCATTAAATGACGCCTACTCTGCCTCAGGCTCAGAACCTGCTGGATCCAGGGTGTTCTGCTGGGGGGGCGGCGCCAGGAGGGGCACCACTCCCAGCCTGGGCTAGGTTAGCAAGTCCTGATGGACAGGGAGAGCGGTCCCGCCCCTTCCTCTGTTTTGAAGAGAAAGGAACATGAAACACAGACCCCAAACGATGACCCTTCGAAGGCTCGGACTCCCCACACTCATTTGAACTTCCAAGTAAACTGCTGTGTGAACGGTTTTATTGACCCCCAAACCCTCAGCAAGTTTTATTTTTTCTAAAAGAAAAAATACTTAGTGAACTTTCAAACTAAAACTCACCTTTAAAACTTTTCGGAAATTACAGAACACGAACAATAGCCCTGAGGCTAAGGGATGTTCCTTTCAATTACAACTCCCAACACGCACAGCTTCAGGGAGCACTGACAAAGGAGTGTTTTCACCCACACGTGACATGTTCGATTCAGTCAGGCATCGCGTGGGAACGCGGGACACACACACCAAACGCTCCCGAGCAGGAGAGGGGAGTTACAGGGCCACAACGCCTGGGATAAGGGGTGTGGTCACTGACAACGATGCTTCCGAAGGACGTGCGACCACACGGACGAGTTCATGGGCAGCTCGAGGTGCTAAATAGAACGTGATGCTCATGATAAAAAATTAGGAGGAAAGTAAGACAGGAAACAATACACAAGGTCACTCAGTGCCCTCACATTCTGTACACTGGGGACAGAGCAGAGCTCCCGGGACTGTCCTGAGGGCTCACAGGCCTGGAAGGAAGCAGGACAATTGGTTTTGTTTGTTTTTAAGCCTCACCAGAGAACATTTTTTCCACTGATTTTTAGAGAGTGGAAGGGAGGGAGGAAGAGACCGAGAGAAACATCGGTGTAAGAGAGACATCGGTTGGTGCCCCAACCGGGGCTGGGGATCGAATCTGCAACTCAGAATGTGCCTTTGACCCGGAATCGAACCAGCGACCCTTCAGTGCGTGGGTCAATGCTCTAACCATTCAGGTAGTGGCCAGGGTGGGACAGTTTTTCTTTCAGAAAAGAAAAATAGTGTTTCGGTCGGTTCTGTGTTTGAGTGCCCTCATTCATACTTCAAGTTGTTCAAACAAGCGTTCTCACCCCTCCTTAAGTATGTCCTGTGAACCAGCTGTGACTGCAGACACTTTAAGGTTGTACTTACTCGCCCATTGTGCAGGCTGGGCTTATTTCACGTACGCCCAATGTTCTGGAGTTTAGTAACTTCCATCCTATCACACACACACACACACACACGCACACGCACACGCACGCGCACACGCGGCAGGAAAGCAATGCTTAGGGTGCTCCTGGTTATTTCTGGAGACGGGGTGACAGAGGCTGTGGCTTCATCTGCCCCCCCCGCTCCTGCTGTGAAGGAACAGCGTTGCGGGAAGAGGGCACAGCAGATGTGACACGGGGAGCTAGCAGGCGGGTGTGTGGCTGCGACACAGGCGGCAGCCCTGGTGCTGAGTGTGAATTCCACCCGAGGTGACGGGAGCCTCACAGGGATGCCCCGGAAACGTGTTCAGTTTCCATCAACCTCCCCCATTTCCCCCCAAGTCACATGGTCGGGGCTGGAGACAAGTCCGTCCCCCGCCACATCCAAGCTTCTGATGCCCCTCCCACAGCCTCTAGGAAATAAACCATCTCAGCAAAGGCAGCCATCAGCTGGGCCCTCACCCCTCGGCCTCAGGGCTCTGAGCCGGGGGCCCACCCCTCCCTGCAGATGCAGAGACCCTGCTTGACTGGCTGGCACGGGGCGAGGCAACTCAGCGTGCCACCCAGAGCTGACAGAGACATCCCTGCCCTGCCTCTCGCACACACCGGCACTCAAATGGTTCAGACTTCTGAGACCCGCGGGGGCTGCTTGGGGTTCAGGTCTGTCCCCACACCTGTGCTGAGCACCAAAGCCTCTCCATCCCGCCCCCTTTCTGCTGCAGGCCAGAAGTCGGTATTTTGTGGAAGAGCCACACTCAAGGGGCCAAAGAGCCGCATGTGGCTCTCGAGCCGCAGTTTGCCGACCACTGCCCTAAGGGAATGGGTGACAGCTGAAGAGCAGTGGGACAGGCGTCCTCCCTCCCTCGGAGGTGAAGCTAGAACCCAGTGTCTCTCCAGGACAAAAAGAATCATCTAGATAAAGGCTCCTGCCCACACAATTTACCCAACAAGGGACTCCACCGTGTGGCCATTTGCACTCGATCTCCACTTGCAAAGCAAAGCGGGGTGCACACTGTATCACTGATGATGGGGAAGCAGAGCTATGCAAAGCAGCTAAGACTTCGGTTCCGAATGAGAACTTCAATGGAAACGAAGGCCACGGCCTTCAGCTGGGAGGACAGCTCCACCCTGGCTCTCCTCGCATTTGCGTCGGAGATGAGAGGAGAAAGGAAGGGACTGAGGCCCACGCCGCACGCGGCTCCAGGCCTCAGTGTGCTGTCTCGTTAGGGACCTCAGCAGCCACATTCCCAGGAAAAATTCTGGGGCTGCCGGAATTTTAAGTCTCAGGTGCCTGCAGGTTGGAGAGAGGTTTATGGAAGACTAAAAAAGATTAAAAAAAAGAGCAGTGGGGATGATGGAGACCAAGAGGGCTCACGGCAGTTTAAGGGGCAGCCCCCTCTTGACACTGGCCAACAGCTGCCACGTAGAAGGGCAGCCCAGGGTGTCAGACGTTCAGATGTTTCCAAAGAAGCTGAAAGTCCAGCTCGTACGGGAAAACCCATGGTTTAAAAGCCTCGGCAACCCTAACCGGTTTGGCTCAGTGGATGGAGCGTCGGCCTGCGGACTGAAGGGTCCCGGGTTCGATTCCGGTCAAGGGCATGTACCTTGGTTGCGGGCACATCCCCAGTAGGGGGTGTGCAGGAGGCAGCTGATCGATGTTTCTCTCTCATCGATGTTTCTGACTCTCTATCCCTCTCCCTTCCTCTCTGTAAAAAATCAATAAAATATATTAAAAAGAAAAAGCCTCGGCAACGAGCTCAAAGGCACGTCGCAGCTCTGCACCAGGCAGTGGTCAGCTCGTGGCTGCCAGCGGTCAGCCGGGGCTCTGTGCTCCGCCCCCCCTGCCTGGACAGACTCCTGGCAAAGCCCACTGGCCCCTCCCTCGGCCTTTCCCGGGGTCGGGACTCCAGCCAGGCCCAGTGTGGCTTCCAGGCGTCGCAGCCTCACAAACCCAACAGCTCGGGGGTCCAGCAGCTCTGAGCGTGGCCAGAGTCCCCCCACGCCAGGGGCAGGGGCTGGTCTGTGTCTGTTTAAAGCCCTGGGTACCTGCCCAGAAGGGGTGACGTCAGGGCTGTGACAGAGCTGAGTCGAGAGGCAGCACAGCACCCCAGAACCAGACGGAGCCTCCTTCCCTGGCGAGTGAGCTGCCCTCAGGCCCGGCCCAGGATGAATGAGGGGACTGTGAGGACAGCCAGGACCTGCTACCTGCCTGCTCATCTGTCCCTCCCACTTCTAATGAGCCAACCAGCACTCCTGACCCCACACCTGGGAGGAGCATCCAACTGAAATACAAGGCGATCGAATGGGCCTGGCCTTCCTCCAACAGCACAGCGCCACTGCCGTTTCCCTAAACCTGTGTCCCAGCGCCCGCCTCCTGCCCCTGCAACCCCCGAGCTGCGGGAAGAACTAAGGAGACAAGGGCACCGCAGCCCTGAGATCTGCTGAGAAAAGGGGGCCTGAGAAAAACGAAGGGGGCCCCAGACCACAGTCAGGAGGCAGCGCAGAGCTGGGAGAGCATGCGGCCTGGGAAATGAGAGTGATGCCGATACTGGCGTGGCCCCGGGCAACTGTCTTACTCACGGAGCCGCAGCTCCTGACCGAGAAAATGGAGTTAGACCCACACTTACAGACCCTCTGCTCCTGGCCCGCGTGGAGAGGCAGTAGAAAGACTAGAAAGCATACACGAGGAACTGTGAAACTCAAACAGATGTTTGCCAACGAAATCACCAGGAACCAGAAGAGGGAAGAAGTAAGAAAGGAGGCAGGGCTGGGCCCAGGGTGGGCAGAGGGGGCAGGAGATAAAAGCACAGGGGCTGGAGGGAGCTGGGGAGGCCTGGGAGGACGCGCTGCCACCGGGTTAGCACAACAAAATCCAGTCACACACCGCCGCATGGGGCCTCATTGTAATCAGGCGGCAGAATTTAGCCGCTCCCTCCCCTCCGCTCTGGGCGAAGGCCGCCAGCACAGACTGTTATCAGCGGCGAGCAGCTTTTCGGGGCCCCCTCCCCCTCGGAGGCCTTTATCTGGAGGTGAGGGTCTTGGTTGTGGGGAGATAAAACACACAGCCCCCCTCCCTCAGGACTGGTACAGAGAGCGGAGGGCTGCGCAGAGGGGGGTGAACAGAGAGGCGCGTCCACGCCCCTCCTGCCCGCCTCCCTGGGGAGCCGAGGACACGCAGGGCTGGGCTGCTGAGCCCCGTGCAGCGCGGTCGGGCCTGGGGAAGCCGCGGGAACAATGCGAGAGGCCGGCCGTCAGGGAGGAGCGGGTGACAAGGAACAGCGCAGGGGACAGAGGGGACTGTGTACGTGACAGGTGTTAGAAAGGAACAAAAAGGGCAAAAAGAGGCCCCGGGTGAGCTCTGGGGATTCACCTGACAACAGGGCTGGCAACCAGCACAGACATGGCCTCAACCTGCACTTTTGCTTTTTGCTGTTAACACTTTAAAAATAGGAACAATGGATACGGTAGGTAGCAGATTTATTTTTTCAATAAACTGGTAACCCCAAAGGGGTAGAGGGGAAGGGGGAGAAATATTACTGATGGGCAAGATCATGGCCCCTGGCTAAAGGACCATCACAGTCCTTCTAAACACTTTTCTAAAGGCCTTTAATTCTAGGATGCGGACACCGTCTCCAGACTAAGTGGTTCTCAACTGGGGGCCGCACTGGCCTAGGGGGCACTGGGAATACAGGGGGGTTCAGGTGACCCATCACTGGGGCACCCCTGACCCTTCTGGTGGTTCCCGTGCAGTGTCTCCCCATCCTCAGGACAGTCTCCACCAGAGAACTGCGAGGTCCCCACTGCCAATGGCACCGCCACCTCCCTTCCCTGCCTTTGCAGCCCCTGGACGCCAGAGGGCGCTGCGCCATGCCCGGACCCTCCACCCTTCAGACTGACTCCTCCCCCAGCCACCCTGGCCCAGGAGGCATCAGGACGGGTGGGTGAAGTAAGGCTGTTTTCACTGGCTGTGTTCTGAGTCCCTAGGAATAGATCCTAAGTAGTTTATTTTCCTCGCAACCTCTAATTGACAAGCCAAAAAGCTGACGGCCTTGCGCTGCACCCATTATGTTTATGCTCTATTTTTCTAAGAATGCGCCTATGAAATCCAAGAGTCTGAGACCCACTGGTTTCTGGGATGAATAATGAACTTTAAACCTAATAAATGGTGCCGCCCACCCGTTTCCCTCACCGCTGTCCCGGGACTCAGCTCTCACCAGGTTCTGGCTCCGCCCCATCCTTTTCCGCAGGCTCCGCCGGTGTGTCTTGGGGTTCCTCCCTCTGTGGGGCTGAGCTGGAGAAGACGCCCACGGGAGCCCATTCCAGATACAGGGGGACGTGGTGGAACTGCAGACAGAGGTGAGGAGGGACTCAGTGTCTTACACAGACGAAGAGCCCGAGGGTCAGAGAGTACGAGTGACTCGCCCCGGAAAGAGCCAGGAGGGGCACACAGCCCAGAGCCCTCCGCCGCCTGATCCCTGAGAACCACGGGGCCTGCTGCAGCTCAGGGCTGGGGGAGGGGCCGAGCACGTGTGTCCCCTGGGCTGCTCTGGCTGGGGTAGGAGTGGGCAGGGGGCGGGGGACAGAACCAGGATGAGAAGCAGCTCTCGTGCAGGAAGTGCAGTGGGGACGCTGGAGACCACGCTTCTCTCCCTGCAACAGACTCTCGGCCACGCATGAGCGTGCGGCTCTTCTTCGAAACGACAAACCAGACAAGGACAGAGGCTGCACATGGCTAACGTGCCTGAGAGAGAAGCTACTTGCAGTGGCTGTAAGGTGGCCCCAGAAGAGCCGTCCACGTCCTGACCCCCAGCACCTGTGTGACCGATTTGGGAAAAGGGTCTGCAAATGTCACTGAGTGAAGGATCTGGAAGTGAGGTCGCCCTGGATCTAGCCAGAAATGGAGGGAAGGAGAAGGCACGTGAGGAGGCAAAGGCCAGTGCAGCAGCACAGCCATGGGCACTGGCGCCACCAGGCGCTGCAGGGGCGAGGGGGGCCTCCCTGGAGCCTCAGAGGGAGCACGGCCCTGCAGCACCCCCATTTCCCACCTCCGGCCTCAGAACTGTGAGAGGACACATTGCTGTTTTAAGCCACGGAGTTGGTGGTAACCTGTTATGGCGGCCACAGGAGACTATCACACTCATTACTATCTGTGTGAGTGTATGTTCGTTTCTACCAAGGACAGGAGACAGCCCGCCTGCAGAACTGACTGCTAAGCTATTGTAGGTACGAGACCCCACAAGCAGAAGAATGAGGGTCAAGTCCGAGGGAGCAGAACGCCGAGGAGCCCGAGGCCGAGACCTCTTTCTGGAGGTTCCAGCTTCGCACCTGTGATCTTAGTGGGGACCAAGCTCACAGTGAGCAGCACAGAGCAGGTGCTTTAGAGGGGCTCCCACGGGCCAGGCCCCTGCTCAGACCGTCGCTGCGTCCGCTCCCTTCACCCCCCGGAATCAGGCCGGCGCCCTACCTTGGAATAGGCCAGGTGGCGGAAGGCCTTGCGGGCCTCCAGCGGCTCCAGGAACTCCACGATGGCGGTGACGCCGCCCTCGGGCAGCAGCACTCGGCCCAGGCTGCCGAAGCGGCCGAAGGTCTCCTGCAGCTCGGCTGCCAAGGTGCCTGCCGGCAGGTTCTTCACCAGAATCACGGTTTTGCTTCGCTCCGCAGCGGGCTGCGAGGGAGGAGATGGACACATTAGGGACAACAGGAGGGCAGGCCCTGCCACCAGCACTGATCTGTGGTCGACTCCAGACCAGGTGCCCCCTGGGACCTCAGTCACCAGGCACTTCAAAGGCCGGCCCAGGAGACGGCACCATCTCAGGCACGTGGCTCCCTGGATAAGAGGAGGCTCCGTGGAGTGGATAAGGGTGAGGGCACCAGAGTGGACCCCCAGGGTCAAATCCCTGTCCCTCCACTGTGGAGCCGCGGCAGCTCCCGCCACTGCCCACCGCAGCCCTGCGAACATCCGGGCGCTCCAGCCCAGGCAGCATCTGCATCCACAGCCCAGGCCCAGGCCCTTCTCCTGCAACTGCAGGCGCCTGCTGTCACATCAGGGCAGGCGACAGGGGCTGGGAGCAGCCCGGGCTCTGCCGGTGCCCCAGATCCAGCTCGGCCCTGCCGGACGAGGTGCTGTCATAAGCACGCTCTGCTCCGGGCTCCTGCCTCCCCTTGGCCTTTCTCACTGTGTCTGCTGCCCAAAACCATACTTGCCCTTGACTCTTGAGTCTGCTTTTGGAAGAACCCAAACCTAGACACTAGACCAGGGGTGGGCAAACTTTTTGACTCGAGGGCCACAATGGGTTCTTAAACTGGACCGGAGGGCCGGAACAAAAGCATGGATGGAGTGTTTGTGTGAACTAATATAAATTCAAAGTAAACAACATTACATAAAAGGGTACAGTCTTTTTTTTTTTTTTTTATTAGTTTTATTCATTTCAAATGGGCCGGATCCGGCCCACGGGGCGTAGTTTGCCCACGGCTGCACTAGACACTAGAGACGCACTGACCTGCGCTCGGCCCCTCACTAACATAAGGACACGGGCTATCTCCAGGACCGCTCCGGGAGAGGCTGCAACAGCTGTGCTAACACAGGCAAAGGGCGCATGGAGCATAAGCGCTGTGTGAACATCAGCAACTGTTTCATGAAAAACAATGTTGGAGGGGGGCAGAGAGCCAAAAACATGTAATGGGAAAGTTCCAGGTCTGGGATCATCTGAGCATGAGTCTCAGCTCAGCCACTGACCTGGCCTTAAACCCCGGTCTGCTTTCCCTGTGGGCCTCAGTGTTCTCATCTGTGAAATGGGCTAATGGTTAACACCCATCCTGTAGGCCTCACAGGGTCTCCTCATAGGGGAGGGCACATCTGCAGGTGGGAAAGGCAGGGCACCCATGGGCTTTGTAGGTGCAACTCAGATTGCAAGTGTAACGATTAGGGATGTGGACTCTGGGGCCACGTTCAAATCTGGCTCCACCGTGAATAGCTGCATGACCTGGAAGCAGGGACTGCACCTGTGACGGTCCCTTCTGTGTGACCGGGGACAGCAGTGCTGCTTTCCACGAGGGTTAGGAAAGTGAAACTCGGAAGGGTGCTTTGATAGCTAGCTAGTGATAGTTACTTATCCATCCACCCACCTCCCTACCCCCCTCATCCATCACCCCCACTTTCCACCCACTCAGCTATCCGCCCATCCTTCCATCCTAACCACCCTGCTCAGGTCAAGTCTAAGGCAGGTAAACCTCAGGAAGCTGCTGTTTGGGAGGCAGAAGCTGAGACTGAGCCCAGGCTCCTGCCACAGTCTCTTTGTTGGACCTTTAAGACAGCCCCCACCCTCAGGGCCTCAATTTCCTTGTCTGTAGAATGAAAGGGGGGATAAGGATGTTAGGTGCTCACTGGACCCCCGAGACCTAATCAGCCATAACCCCGAGAACCCCACCTGGTGGAGGGAGCACGTGGAGGTGACCGCTCCCCTACTTGGTTCAAGGATGGCCTACCACTCAGATAGACAGCAGTGCTCTTAGAAAGGAGCTGGGGGGACAGGATGTTTGGGCCCCCTGGTCTGCATGAAGGTTACGAGGTAGCCCTCCTGCATAGGCCTCTGAGAGACACCATCCGGTCAGATAGGCGCCTTGTCTGAACCCCTGTGATTTTCTTCCTCTTTGGAGACTAAAAATTAATGGCAAACATCACCCTCGACAGGCGGGGTCCTCAAACCCATTGCCACGCCGCCAACCTGAACCCAGCCCAGCTCCCAGCTCCCCGTGGCCGGCAGCCGCGCCGAGCTGGTGTGCACCCACCTGGCTGAAGGAGTCCAAGCTGACCCCGTTGTCCAGGAGGAAGCGCCGCACTTCCTGCACGAGCTGGGTCTCCCCGAGGGCCACGCGCACGGCCACGCTGCCCTTGGTCTCCTGTGGGAGGGAAGGAAGAGGCCTGTTGGCTGTTGGGCAGGTGACGAGCAGCCTCCCGTGTCCCACAGCCGAGAGGAAGGCCTGGATGGAGAGGACCCCCCGATGCCCTCCCTGACCCCACTGACCGGTTGGCTCTGGCTATCACCTCTCAGGGTGGCTCCACACAACCCCGCAGGAGCCAGGGTCGAGGGGCGACTGGGACGTGCCAGGGCCCAGGATGCCCATAATGCGGCAGCAAAGGCCCACTCCCAGGCGACCCAGCACGCTGCCCCCTCCTTGCCCTTGGCCCCTCACATCTGGCCCACAGCCGGTACATCAGACGGGCCGCTCACTCACGTGGTCAAACACTTGGCTCTTGGTGGCGCTGTACTTCTGTGCGATGGCGTCGGCCACTGCATTCGGGCCCATGAACAGCGTGTTCCAGTTGTGAGAGCTGAGAGGCAGGAGAGGGACGTCAGACCGCAGAGCAGTGACGGGAATATTGTTTCAGATGCGAAACCTTTAAGAAATGAGCCCTCGGCCTGCCGTTCTGAACCCCAAAGCCTCTCTCTCCCCCAGCTTCCCTGGTGTGGGCCACCTCGCAGGGCCTGCAGACGAGGACAGCGATGATGACATGAACAACCCTCACTCGTGTCAGGCAGCCACTCTGTGCCAGGGACTAAGCTCTGCCTGTCAACCTGTTTAACCCCTAGGACTCCGCATAGCTAAGCACCACTACAATTCTCCCATTTTGCAGAGGAGAAACGGGCTCAGCAAGGTTATGGCGAGGCTGGACCCACCCCAAGGAGCCAGAGCCCCGCGGCGGCTGGGGAAGAGGGGGCGAGGGAGCAGGAGCCTGGTCAGGGCCCGAGGCCGCGCGTGTAAGAACCTGGAGCTGTTGGCTTTGTCTTTGGCCTCTTTCTTCTTCTTGTAAGAGGATGATCCCGGGGCGCTGGCGTCCTCGCTGGCTTCCTTCTTGATGGTGGATGGTAAGACATGGAGCATCCTGCCCTAGAGGGGGGGAGGGGGCAGGGGTTAGGGGGGGAGGGGGAAGGTGCCTCCACATCCTCCCCAGGATAGCGGCCTCTCCGAGCAGGCAGCAGCACGCGGTGCTGAAACCCTCTCAGACGTGGCCTCAGGTTGAACGACCATGTGGTTACCCTCAACCCAGAATGGGGACGTGGCCACAGGACCAGGGGGCCTGACACTGGGACAGAGGCCATGTGACAGCCTCACGAGGGAGACTGGTCAGCTTGTAAGTGCCACCCACCCCCCACCCCGAGGCCAGGGCCCATCCTGCCCCTGCACACGTAGGGCCTGCACAGGAGGTCTGGTCCGGAGGCCACAGAGATCACTGCACTATGCAGGCACGAATGGAAAGAAGGGAAGAGGGGGACAAGAGCCTGGGCTGGGGGTGCACACTGAGCACCTTACTTATAGGCGCTGGGAAAAAAGACAAGAGCACCTTACACTCCACTGTGGCCATTTAACATGACCGCGCCCAACTCCTTCCTTCCTTCTTCCTCTTCCAAGTGCTATTTCTCCAGAAGGAGAGCATATTCATTCATTCAGCAAACCCTCTGGGAGTTCCCACTAGGTGCTAGGGGGTGGGCAAACTTTTTGACTCGAGGGCCACAATGGGTTCTTAAACTGGACCGGAGGGCCGGAACAAAAGCATGGATGGAGTGTTTGTGTGAACTAATATAAATTCAAAGTAAACATCATTACATAAAAGGGTACAGTCTTTTTTTTTTTTTAGTTTTATTCATTTCAAACGGGCCGGATACGGGCCCGCGGGCCGTAGTTTGCCCACGGCTGTGCTAGGCGCTGTCCCAGGTGCTGACGGATCAGTGGAACCAGAGCCGACTGGCCCTCAGGGCACTGCCTTCTGGGCGGGTGCGAGGACAGCTCCCCAGGCCACTAATGTGCTTCCTTAGAAATGGAGGTGTGTGTACATGCACGCACACACCTACACGCACGCATGCACACACACGGCCTCCCCAGGCCACTAGCACTGCCTTCTGGGTGGGTGTGTGTGTGCACACACACGCACACATGCACTCACACGGCCTCTCCATGGGGGGTGTGCACACGTATGCACGCACACACACACACGCACGCACGCACACACACAGCCTCTCCCGGCCACCTGGGCCCTGGGCAGTCACCTGGAACACCTGCCCGTCCACCTCCGCGTAGGCCTTCACCGCGTGCTCAGGGAACATGAAGGAGACGAAGGCAAAGCCCTTGGGTTTCTTGGTCAGGCTGTCGATGGGGTAATGCAGCTCGGACAGGGGGCCTGCGGACAGGAGAGGGGTCAGTGTCTGGGGCCGGAATGGGCCTGCACGCTCGGCACTGAGCAGGTGACGGTCTTCACTGGCAAGAGCATCGGGCTGCCGCTCTGGGTCGGCCCGTGATCAGAGGCAGCAGTGAGACCACCTCAAAGGTCAAGGGTGTCCCTGACACAACCCTTTATGCGTCTCTCCTGACAGTACAGATGCTGGGCTGGGTCCTGCCTCCACCACCTGTAGGTGTGGTCTTCAGGTGCCTCAGTCTTCTCATCTGTAAAGTGGCATCATCAGAGCACCAACTCATGGGTGCTGGGAGGGTTAAAGGCATAGACACGTGACGTGTCCTAACAGCGCCTGCTCAGTGCCCTGGAAGTGCCTGCAGTCTACTGACTCCCTCTCGTGTGCAGCCAGCCCTGCTATCAACTAGGGTGCTGGCCTGGGGGGAAGGATCCGTGCTCAGGACAGCAGGAACCGCAGGCTGGAAGGTTACACCAATGGCAGAGTCCTGCTCAGGGCCACCCTGCCCCCACACCAGGCACTCAACCACGCCCCAACCCCCACCACCCAGAGACGGCCTCCGAATAAAAGTGGGAGGCCCTCCAGGGGATCTCAGCGGCATCGAGACCTCACCGTCACTTTAAACCCTAACTTCCTTCCCTTCACAGCCGTGACCTTACAACCAAATACAGCCCAGGGTGACCCAGCTAAACTACAGGTCTTCGAGTTCATGTCCTGTGAAATAGCAACAATGACGACAGCAAAAACACCCTTGCTGTCAAACACAGCGTGTGTGAATTCTCACAGCAGCTCAGGGATCATCAGCCCATTTCATGGATGAGGAAACTGAGATGGGAGGGGATGTCATGAGCCCAAGGTCAAGAGCTGAGGGGCAGCCTGGGACTGGAAGCCGGGCCTGCCTGCCCTCAGCCGCCTGCTCCGGGGGAGCTGCACCCACCGTATTTGGAGAAGATCTTCTCCAGGTCCTCCTCGGTGCTGGTGTAAGGCAGGTTGCGCACGAAGAGCCTCCCCGAGTCGGCCAGGTCCTCCTCCTCCTCGTCCTCCCCGAGCGTCCGGCCCTGCCAGGGTTTGCTGCTGCTCTTCGGGGGCCCCTTGGCCACGGGGACAGTCTTTTCCCTGAACACCTCGATGTAGCGGCCACCTGCACAAGGAGAGGAGTCAGGGCCCGGGGGAGGCCTGGAACTTAACAGTGACTCCCGACTGACGATTCCAAACTCATCACCGCCATCGCCTCCTTCCAGATGCCAAGGCCCAGGCTCAGGCTGCAGCTGGCCTGACCCGAAGGCCCTTTCCCCATGTCATCCACCCTGCAAGTCAGTGTCAACCCGGGGGGAGCCTGCCTGGGCCGCCTCCGTCCAGATCTGCATCCTGAGCTCAGGGCATGTGTCCTGGCACCGACGGCTACTCTGCCTCAGGACACAACACATGACGTGTGCACCCAACGCCGAGGAGCCCGTCACCCTGCACTAGTGAACTCTACATGCATCACCCGGGGCCTGATTAGACCGTGACCACCACTATCTCCTCCACGTGCACACAGTAGGTGCTCAATAAACACCTACTGCCTGACTGGCTGACAAGACTGCTTGGTTTCTCTCCTTCCCCGACAGAACTTGTGTCTTCACTAGGGGCCGGCGGCTGGATCTGAGTCACTTGTCCATGCCAGGGTCAGGTCAACAATCACGTCTCGCAGACCATTCCGGCGACCTCCCAATTCAGGGACCTGCACATGCTGCCTGCACTGCTCCCTGCATGGAACGCCTGCCCCCCCAAGCCAGGGCTTGCTCCCTCTGCTCCTCTGGGTTTTCTCACCTTCTCGGGGAGGCCCAAGGGGACACACTCCTGTTCATAAACGTGCCTCCTCCAATCCTGACTCTCCTGCTCTGCATTTCCCCACAGCACAGCCCATCGGATGCCACCCCCTCTCCCCACTTATGTCCATTTACTCTACAGCAGCTGCTCAAGCTCTTCTGCTTGCCGCTGTCTCACCAGTGCCCAGAGCAGTGCCTGGCACAGAGCAGACCCTTGGCTAAACGTGGTGGAGTAAAGGAATGAACGCACCCTGCTTCCACGCGGAGCCGGGCCTGTCCCCGTGTCCTTACCCATGTATTCTCTGTTGCACTTCAAAGCTTTCTTCACTTCCTCTTCGCTGCTGAAATCCACAAAGACGTACCCTGAGGAAGGACAATGACAAAGGTCAAGTCCACAGACACGTGCAGGAGTCCCCCACACTGTGCTAGGTGTTCAGGAGAAGCTGGGCAGAATGGGGAAGAACTTCCAGTTTTGCCAGTTCTCCAAAATGCAAAGATTCCCTCCCACTGTGGCCAAATCTCCCTTCACAGAATTTTTAGGCCGGGGGGGAGGCGGGGAGGATGTCCAGTCCATGGGCCGTCCAAGGCCTGCAACATCATTTGGTCTGGCCCTGCCAAGGCATCAGGGGTGAGTTAACGAAATGTCTGACCACATATAGCAGGCTAATTTTTAAGTTGGTAATTTTGTATGGCCCGTGAATGGTTATAAATACCCAAATGGCCCTTGGCAGGAAAAAGGTTCCCCACCCCTGGTTCAGACCCTGGGGCCTGGCTCTACACTGATGACACTGGGATGACAATGCTGGGATGCCCAAGCTGGGATGTCGGAGTCAGAACACAGGAGCCCTCTGTCCCCCCCCCCGCCCCCCCCCCCCCCGTGATCCATCCTGAGGGGCCATCTCCACAGCCACTCTGCCAGAGCCCAAGGCCCGAAGAGCCAGCGTGGGGGTCTTTTCCATCCTCGGCCTGCACCCGGGGCTGAAGTCCAGTCATTACTGAGCCCTCAGCGAGGTCCAGTCATTACTGAGCCCTCAGCACGGGGCCAGCCTGCCTCCTCGGCAGTCACGCTCACAGGCCAGCTCTCTCCAGCTCCAAGGCCTCCAATATGGCTCCTCGTCCTGACACCTCAAGTGTGCCCCTCCCTGCCCCTCCGGCTGGTCTCTGAAGAGCCGTGCGAGCGGGGCACCGCCACAGTCCTAACGCTGGCTCGCAGGGAGCCTGGATGGGCGCTCAGCACTGTTGTAAACGCTGTGCGCACTAACTCACTGAGTCCTCACAACTAAACGAGACACGACCACCCCATTGCTCAGATGAGGAAACTGACCACGTCCTGGTCCAAGGCCCCAGGGCTGGCAGGTGGCCGAGCTGGGATCTGAAGCTGGGCAGGCTCTCCCCTGCCCTGGATTGTACCCGAACAGGTGGGCAGGGAGAGAGGGACGCTGGCCACTGGGCCTGCCTGGAGAGCAGGGCTGCGTGCTCAGAGGGCCGGGGAGGGGACACAGAAACTTGAAGGCAACAAGACCACCCCGAAAGCAGGTGGCCTTTCTTCCCCGGACTCTGGCCCCAGCAGCTCCTGCTGCTCAGCCCGTGCCCACAGCTTCTTGCCAAGAGCAGCCTGCATGCCCAGCGTGGCCGAGGCCTCGCCGTGGTTCCTGGGAGCACAGCTCTGCTGCTGCGTGTCCTGCAGCCCCGGCCGGGGCAGTAAGGGGGCGCCCACCTCTCCAAGCTCAGACCCTTCCTTCCAGCATGTTCGCTGCCCAGAGGGGAAGCCTGGCAGAGGACAGTGAGGGGCAACAGCACACATTCTTAGCAGCTCAGAGTGCTGCCTGTCGGCACAGCAAACCCTGGACCGGGGACATATGTTTAAAGCAACAGGCGAGCCCACTGGCAAGAGTGGAGACAAGAGAAACAGTGACAACCACGCACCAGGCTGCCAGGCGGGGACAAGAGGAGACCCTGGCCCAAGCAGTCTAGCCCATTGGTCGGCAAACCGCGGCTCGCGAGCCACATGCGGCTCTTTGGCCCCTTGACTGTGGCTCTTCCACAAAATACCGACTTCTGCGCATGGGCCACGAAGTTTCAATCGCACTGTACGTGCGCGCCTGCACGACGTTTTTTTGTGGGAGAGCCACAGTCAAGGGGCCAACGAGCCACATGTGGCTCGCGAGCCGCAGTTTGCCGGCCACGGGTCTAGCCAATCCACAGAGCCGGGGACCACAAGCAGAAACAAGAACAGCTGCCCCTCAAGTGTCCCCCAACTCCACTGCCCCGACCTTCCACCTTCCCCAGCTGCCTCTGGACACCCAGACCTCACCTGTCTTGTTCCCGTGAGCATTCCTCACGATGCGAATAGCCACCGGTTTCAGGGGCGCCAGGAACTCCGTAACGTTTTTCTAGATGAAGGAAAGGTTCCCCCTGTATCAACTGGTAATAAAAGCGCAGCCCAAACAAAGAAACCTGGGCCGAAGTTCTGAACGCAGAAAGGTTACCAGTGTTTCGCCCTTTCTTGTTTCTCTCTTTCCCTTAAATATACACATCTTTTCTCCATCATTAAAGGAAACTAACTTGGAAAAAATCTGAAGAAGAGCTGGAGATGAAGGATGTAAATATAAAATAGCAACGCCACCATCGGCACTTTAAGGCACTGTGTCTGATATCCCTCCCCGCAAGTACCTTATATATTTGGGGTTAAGTCTGGGCTTTCCCGCTTCTCCTCAGCGCTGGACTATCTGTCCCCGTCCCCTCATGGTGATGGCTCGCAGTCACTTACGGTGCTGCTGCAGGCCGTCCCCAATACTCTCCAGTCTCTCTCTTCTGAACATGAGGGCGATTCAAACACATTTTTTAAAATGCACTAACACAGGGTATGGATCCCAAAGCCTTAAATATTGACCAGCTGACCCTCTCCTTCTCCCAGCAGGAGAAGCATGCGCAGCCCTAGCGTGCACCATGGGTGAGGGCAGCTGGTCCTCAGCTGGTCAGCCACCGTCCCGTGAAAGGCAAGGCCTGGGATCACACTCAGCGGCCTTTTAGCCCCAATTCTTCCCAGCTCCAGTCCTCCGCTAACCCTGAACCCCCTAAGCAGGGGTTCCCAGCACCCACCCTCAGCTCTGGCCCTTGTCCCAGTTAGCGGCACGCACCTCTGTGACGTTGAACGGGGCTCCCCGCAGCTTCACGGTGTGGGGGGTGCTGGGTTCCCACGGGACGGCTGGCTTCTCTTTCTGAGTGACGGCAGAGAGCAGAGTGGGAGTGAGTCCCCGGCCCAGTGGCACTGAATGTGCAGAGGCGCGGACAGCAAGCCGGGGATGCCGCGAGCATCCTGAGGTCACGTGATGCTCGCTGCCACCGACTCGGAGCTCAGTCTGTGCCCACTGTGCAGAGCACCATCGGGCACTGCTGTCTGGTTGGGTCAAAACAATCCCTCCCCTGGACTTCAGCGCCCTCCCCTGTGAAACCGGACATGAAGAACGCCTGCCCCTCAAGACTGTCTTAAGAGTCAATGACAAAGGATACGGCCGGCACTGGACCCAGCACGTAGTAAGTGCTCACTTAATCATTGTCGTCGACTGCGGGCTGACATCTGCGTACACTGCCACTAAATACAAAGTATAACAGGCTGCATCCATCAGCAGCTCACTCTCCAGTGACAGGAAACAGATTCAGAAAGAAGTGCATGCACAGGTCACAGAGCAAGTGGCAGAGCTGAGATGTGTAGCCAGGTCTGGGGCCTGCAGGGTACGTGGGCGAGGACATGGTGAACCACCAACCGGCTCCCGGACCCCCAGACCCACCCCGATCCACACACCTGGGCGCTGGCCTCCTGGGGTTTCTTGGTCCCAGACAGGGTGCCTTGCTCTGGGCCTGGCCCTGTCCTCTCCTGGCCCTGCCGGGCGGGGGCAGTGCAGGGATCCTCTTCCTCGGCCTCACTGCCTTCATCACAGTTCACGGCCTCATCTTCACTTTCCTCCTCCTCCTCCTCCTCCTCCTCCGAGGAAGACGGCGACTCGGCCCGCACCACCTTGGATTTCAGGTAATCCATGTCCGACAGCTCCTTCCGCACGGCTGCCTTCGGTTCGAGGCCGCCCTCCTCTGGGAAAACAGGGAGGCTGGGAGTCGGGGACAGTCCCTGGCACCGAGGGACTGTGTTTGTGCAGCCTACAAGGGGCCTGGGATGGCAGGGGGCACAAGGTGCCAAGCCCACCATCACCAGGGGCCCTGTGCCGCGCAGCCCTGGTGAGTCCTGATAGTCACATGGTGAGATGCTGCCGTGTTGAGGTGCCACGTGCCACACGTCGGGAGCTGCGTGTTCCCCGCAGCAGCCCTGCCCTCGTCATCCACTCTTTCAACTGCGACCTGGAGGACCTTTTGGCCACTCCTGGACTAAACCCTCCAGTGACTACCAGCTGCTCGCAGGGAGAAACCCGAGCTCCTGCCCCTCGAACAGCTGACTGCCTTCAGCTCCCACGGCTGCAGCCACCCTGAGCCACGCAGAACGCTGTTCCCTCCACCTGCACCCCCGCCTGTCCCCTCCATGACCGTGTCCCACCAACTCGCAGCGAGTCCTTCGGACCCCAGCTTTGCACGGAAACTTTACCGTATGTAACATCCACATTGAAGCCATTCTGTGCTTTAAGCCACAATGGATTCCCGACCCTCACCCGCCACGTGCCATCCTGGGCTGCAACTGCTCACACACCCGCCGTCCCCACAGTACACCGTGGGCCCCTTCCGAGGACGGGGCTTCCCCTCACCTCCTTCCGACCTTTGTTCTCGGGAACTCTCCTATCCCCCTCCCCGCTTTCTCTCTGTCTTCACGTAACACACTAACTAGTGAGTGATTTCTTTACGGTGTCTTCCCCCCCACCGGGGTGACAGCTCCGTGGGGGCAGGATTCTTCGTCGTTTGCTCACTGCTGTATCCCCAATGCCTAAAGCAGTGCCTGGCACATAGTAGGTACTCAATATTGAGTGGCTGAATAAGTGACCAAGATCAGTCAAGGCCGAGGTACTTGTGGTTGGGATAGCCACCCCACTAGAGGGCAGTGTCTGGCACCGAGGGACCCACATTTGTACAAGCCCGCGAGAGCACAGGCCCCTAGGCGTGCAGGGACCCCAGGGGGCGTGTCCATGTCTTACCTTCTGAGTCCTCCCCGGCTCCCTCCTCACTCTCCTGGCCCGAATCAGAGTCAAAGTTCAGGTAGTCACTGGCCTGCTTGCTCTTCCCTTGCGAGGGCTCCGTGTCCACTGCATCGTTAGCCCAAGTGGCTGCCTGTGTCCGCCTCTGGTGAACCGACAGGAACTCCCGGAACTCGGTGCTTTCCTTCAGCTGGTGGCACCGCAGCGGGAAGAGGGAAACACAGGCCAGGACGACTCAGTCAGCTCACCCCTCCTGACTCCCGGCGGGTCAGAGCACCCTCCAAGTTCATTTCCCCTGGGGCCAGCCGGGTCAGCCCTAGGAGGGCGGAGTGGACGCTTCACTGGACAAGAAGCCTAAGAAACCAGACTCGGCTCCAGCGCTCCCAGGACCCCTCCCAGCGCCCACCTTCTTGGGCACCAGGACAGACTCACCTCCTCCAGCTCACTCGCTGCCTTTTTCTTCTTCTTGTCCTACAAACAGAAGGCGCAGATGGTGAGGACCATCTGGCCTGAGAAGTGGGGGGCTTGGGCGAGGGGAGATGAAACTGAATTGTCTTGGGAGGGCCCTCCTGCAGGAACCATCCGAGAGGGAGTCGCAGGTCACCCCTGCTCCCCTGCCCGAGCCCCCAGCGGTGACCACCCTGCTGACCCTGGGTTCGAGGGCAGGAGTGACCGTGTACGCACTTTCTTAGTTTCTGGGGGCACCGAGTCCTTGTCTTTCGGAGGCTGCTTGGTCTGGCTTGGTTTCTGGGCATGCTTGCTCCAGGCCCGCGGCTTTGTCGGGTCCCCAAATGACTTGCAGAACTCCACCTGCACGGGCGAGGGAGGGTGGTCAGAGGGGACCTGCCACTGCCCCAGCCCCGCCACACTCACACCCAGGAGCTCGGGCTTTTAAAAAGGCCGCTGCCACAGCCTAGCTGAGCTGGCTGAAGCAAATTCCGCATCCTCCCCTCGCCTGGCTTTGCTCTCTTCACAGCACTGTGGGCGTGAACGTTTACCAGGCAGTCTGCTGTTCTGCAAGTAGAAATACACTGAGCCTCCCCCAGTGCGAGGAAGGAGCCATGACTCCCCCACTTCTCAGGCCAGGAACCAAAGCACAGGGAAGTGAGTGACTTGCCCCAGATCACCCAGGCCAGAGCGGGTCAGAGAGGGCTGGAACTCGATGTCTTTACCGAGTCATTAAATGCACGTGAGTGACAGAGTAGGACCTCCTCCTCCAGGAAGCTTTCCTGACTCCCCATCCACCCCCAGCAAGGAAGGCACCTCCTTTGTTCCTCAGCACTGACCACAGTGACTGAAAGCAGCCATGTCTCCCGTGGGCTGCTGGCTCCATGAGGACGGGCCAGGGGGCCACATCCGCTCCAAATCCCCTGCATCACGTAAGCGCTCGAGTGCTGGCTGAACAGTTTGTGAATGAATGACGTAGACCAGTGGTTCTCATGTGGGGACCGCAGCATCACATCACCTGTGAGCTTGTTAGACGTGCATTCCTGGGCCCCCTCCCCCACACACTGAATGAGAAACTCCGTGAACGGGCCCAGGAAACCAGTTTAACAAACTCTCCGGGGATCTCTAGGCAGGAAAGACTGAGAAGCAGTGAGACGCTGAGGATATCACAGCCTGAAAGGGGACAGGGGTAGGAGGGAAAGAGCGTTTTCCACAGGCAGGCAGTGGCGAGATTCCCATCAACTCACCGTGATCCGGGATGTGTCGACAAAACTCTTGTTGAAATGGTTCAGTGCCCTTTGGGCCTCTTCCTCGGACTTGAAGCCGATGAAGCCGAACTTGCGGAACTTGCCATCCTTGGTGAACTTGAGGCTGCAGTCCGTCAGCGTGCCAAAGGCGGCGAACAGCTGCCGGAAACGCTCCTCCTTCATCTAGAACAGAGGGGCACCGTGAGGGAGAGCGGGGAGGTCAGAGCCCAGGGACAGATGGAAGCTGGGATGGGAAGGAGAGCCACCCTCATTCATCACAGTGAGGCATCAAGAGACACTGCCTAGCCCTGGCCAGGCGGCTCAGCTGGTTGGAGCGTCGTCCCATACACCAAAGGTTTCGGGTTCGCTTCCCAGTCAGGACGTACAGGAGGCCACCAAATGATTGATGTTTCCCTCTCACACCAATGTTTCTCTCTCTCTCCCTAAATCAATAAAAATATATCCTTGAAGATTAAAAAAAAAAAGACACTGCCTAAAGCTGATGGATATGATGGATAGATCAATAATAGATATTTTAAAAGTATACCATTTACGGTAAATGATGGATGGATTAAAAATAACAAATAACACTCCCGGCCAGTGTGGCTCAGTGTTGAGCATCGGCCTATGAACCAGGAGAGGAGGTCAAGGCTCAGTTCCCGGTTAGGGTACACACCTGAGTTTCGGGCTCCATTCCCAGGGTGGGGCGTGCAGGCGGCAGCTGACTGATGATTCTCTCTCATCAATGATGTTGCCATCTCTCTCTCCCTTCCTCTCTCTGAAGTCAATAAAAACACTTTTAAAAATAAAAAATAACCAATGGAGGAATAGATGATCTAGGTTCCTCATCTTTCACAGTGGATAGTCATTGGGTAAACAGGCCAAGAAATGGGCGCACATATTTGGGCAGAGGAAGAAACCTATGGGGAGTCCTAAAATAAGCCAGAGAAGATGGTTACTCCTGGAGAAAGATGGAGGATAAGAGAGAACAAAATCTGCTTCTCAGCTTATACACTACTGTGCTGTCCAAATTTTTAAAATTGTGTCATAGCTGCCCTAGCCTGTTCAGCTCAGTGGATAGAGCGTCATCCACAGGGTCCCCGGTTCGATTCGATCAAGGGCACATGCCCCGGTTGCAGGCTGGATCCCCAGTAGGGGGCATGCAGGAGGCAGCCAATCAGTGATTCTCTCTCATCACTGATGTTTCTATCTCTCTCCCCCTCTCCCTTCCTCTCTGAAATCAATAAAAACATATTTTTAAAAAGTAAAATTGTGTCATAGCCTCCAGAGACCAATCTGTGGTGGGGAGGGGCAAGGGGCGATAAGGTTAAAAAACAACAACACAGCAATAAAACAGCAATGGCTTTGGGTCCTTCCTCTTCCTAAGGGGAGAGAGTCCGTCCCAAGGGGTAGAGTCAAGAGCACAGAAGACCTCGGACCAAGATGGCACATTCTGGGTGTGGGGCATGAGCTGACCGGCCGCACCAGCGTGTGCAGTTTCCCACGCAGGAAAGGTGACAGGGAGGGAGGTGAGGATGGCCCAGAGCCCCAGCCCTCTGGCCCCACATCCGTCCGTTCGCTCACTCACTGCGCATGTGTTAGTTGAGTGCCCACCGCAGGTTCTGCGCGGGACTCCAGGGAAAGAGTCCACGTACTGGATAAAGGGTTCAGAGCCCGTTATCGGTTCTGAATCGAACCCGCCTGCCCCGATGACGGCATCGGGAACTGGAACGCGGGCCCTAAGCCCATTACTCCCCACGTGCCGCCCATCAGCCCCCCGAGTGGAAAGGGCTGCAGGTACTGGGTGTGACCCAGCCTCGAGTCAACAACAACGAAATGCGACCGGACCAGGGGGCCGGGGTGCCAGGCCAGGACGAGGTGGGGGCGGGGCCTCCCTGGGAGGGTGTCGGGCTGCGCGTCAGGGACCCACCGGCGGCTGTGAAACCGTGAGCAGTTACGGTCTCTCCCGCCCACTGTCAAAGGGGGGAAAGCCGCGGGTCCTGCCCCGGAGGGAAAACCCCTCAATTCCCCGCAGCCGCCTTCCTACCGACCCTTGGCCCCCGACCGGCCCTCATTTCAGACCCCCGGGCCCAGGCCTCTGCCACTCACCCCATTCGGGAGGTTCTTCACGATCAGCCGCGACATGGCGCCCGGCCCCGCGGCTCTGACCCCAGCGCGGCGCACGGAGTCTCCCACTGACACTTTCACGCCGCAGCCCTGGGCGCCGCCATCTTTCCCGAGCCGGATCCCAGTCACGTGCTCCAGGCCTGGGCCAGCCCCTTCCGGAAATGGGCGTGGCCAGACCGAGCGCCCCGAGGAAGTCACACCCACAAGGGGCGGGCCTGAGCGCTTGCCTTCTGCGCAGGCGCAGGCTGTCGGGCGCCCCGGAGGAGACCAATGCTCAGCCGGCAGGGGGCGGTGGTGCTCCCTTGGCCGGGGATGGGATGGGTGGCCCCTTAGTGTATGGGCGCCGGGCCCAGTGTTCCAGCCTCCTTTTCTATTGCAGTTTGGTATCGAGTTCTAAGCCTGAGGATGGGGACAGGGTTAGGGGTTCTTGCTATTTATTTATTTATTTATTGTTTTTTTTACAGAGAGGAAGGGAGAGGAATAGAGAGTTAGAAACATCAATCAGCTGCCTCCTGCACACCTCCTACTGGAGATGTGCCCACAACCAAGGTACAGGCCCTTGACCGGAATCGAACCCGGGACCTTTCAGTCCGCAGGCCGACGCTCCATCCACTGAGCCAAACCGGTTAGGGCTCTTGCCTCTCTTTTAGAGATGGGGAACGGAGGCTCAGAGAGGCTGCCTGATGCGCCGTGAACCAATTGCTGAGCATCACCTGTAAATCCTGGAATGAGAACATTGGAAAGAAAACATCCCCATTTTGCCGGCGAGTAAACTGGGAACCAGAGGAGTGAAGCAGCAGCTCGCTCAAAGCCGTGTGGCTCTTCAGCAGTATTAAGTACAAGTCGTTTTAAGTGATAGGATTACGGGTGTATTGGTTCCCTGGGCTGCGGTAACAAATTACCAGAAATTCAGAGGCTTAAAACAACAGGAATCTACTCTGCCACAGCTCTGGAGGCCAGACACCCACATTCCAGGTGTCAGCCTGGAAGGCTCTAGGGGCGGCCTTCCTGCTGCTGGCGGCCCTGGAGGCTCCAGGTGCTCCTGGTAACTCACACCACTCCACTCCCTACCTCCATCTTCACGTGGGCGCCTCCCTCCTGGTGTCCGAGCCAAATCTATCTGCCTCTGTCCTCTTATCCGGACAGTGCCATTGGGTTAGGGCCCATCTTAAATCTAGACCAAGCATGTCAAACTCGCGGCCCGCGGGCGGCATGCCTCGTTTAAAAAAAGGCACGGTGACTGTCTATTGGGGCAAACATACCTACACGTGGAAAAAAATGCCCTCAGGCCCAGAGCAGCTGACTTCAGGGGTCACTGTGCTTCAAGTCACCTGTTTATTCAGCAGATATTTACGGATCCGTGTGCCAGCGCCCTTTAGTGAAATGGCCATTAGGGGTTGTTTTGTGCAACCTGTGCCCTGGGTCAGGACGGAAGGAGCGGGCTTTCCGGAGCAGCTCCGAGACCTTGGCCTTTTTTTTTTTTTTTAATATATTTTATTGATTTTTTTACAGAGAGGAAAGGAGGGGGATAGAGAGTTAGAAACATCGATCAGCTGCCTCCTGCACACCTCCTACTGGGGATGTGCCCGCAACCAAGGTACATGCCCTTGACCGGAATCGAACCTGGGACCCTTCAGTCCGCAGGCCGACGCTCTATCCACTGAGCCAAACCGGTTAGGGCGACCGTGGCCTTTTAGGAGGGGCCAAGTGTGGGCTGCCTGGCCAGTCCTGGTTTCCAATTCTTTTATTTCATTATTTTCACAAACTGCCCTTTGAAAAATGCGCAACTACAGGCAGCCTTCCCTAAGGAAATTCACAAATCAGAGGCATTAAAAGGAAACGAAGTGCTCTTGACCAATCCTCACGTTTCAGCGCCGGGCCGAGGAAATATGGTCGCCACATGTCAGGGAAGGAGGGGCGTCCCGGGCTGTCTATCCGAGCATTTAATAAACAGCCCGGGAGAGGGTTGTTATTAGTCTCGCTGCTCTCCTGACTTCCTGTTGGGTCTCCTGACTCCTTTTCTCTCCAGCAAATGTCACCCAGGGCACCTGGAGCCCGCGGGGCCGGCCTCTCTGATTACACCTGGGGGTGAAACACCACAACAGATCAGCCAGGTCCGAACCAGGCCCCCCCCCCCCACGGCTGCCTCCCCACTGGGGCTGTGAGAGGTCCTGTTGGGACCTGAGGGAATTAACTGCCCACAGGGAGAGGCCAGCAGTGAGGAGAGAGCCTGGAAGGAGTTGGGAGAGGCAGGAGGGAGGGAGGAGAGAACACAGAACTCAATATTCTCCACGTGAGAAGTTTAATTACGGGGAAACATCCGACAAACCCAGTGGAGGGACATCCTAAAAGAAGATCCTGATCAGAACTCTTCAAAAATATCAAGTTTGTCCTGGCCGGGTAGCTGAGTTGGTTAGAGCGTCAGCCTGATACACCAAGGTTGGGGGTTCGATCCCTGGGCAGGGCACATATAGGATCAACCCATGAATGCATAAATGGGCGGAGCAGTACATCTCTCTCTCTGGCTGTGGGTGAATCTGATGTTTCTGCGTGATTAGATTCGGGTTAAGATGTCAACTTGCCCTCAAGTGGGTGGCGGTACCTCTGATCGCCTGGTTAAGGAGCTGTCGGCCAAGTCCCTTCTCTGGACAACTTTCCCCTTTGTCATTAACAAGTCCCGTGTGGGTGTAAGAAAGCGTGTCAGTATTCAGAAAGGCTCAGAGACCATGTTAGCTTTCACAGGTGTAGACAGGTTCTGAGGCCATGGCCTTCCTAGCTGTTGATACACAGGGAAATGGAGGCCCGGAAAGAAAACACGTGCTTAAGATCGCACAGTAGAAACCAAGGTCAGGTTCAAGGGGGCTGCTCCTCTCTGCCTGTGGTCACCCCCAGGGATCAGGTGCTGGGGACCACTGCCGGGGGCGGGGGGGGTTGGTCTCCACCTCCCACCTTGAATGGGGCCCCAGCATCACACAGCCCCTCCGAGGGCAGGTGTGCACCGGCCTCCACCGCACCTGCACGGATGTCGGGCGGCTCACCTGTGGCAGGTGGTGGCTGAACCTTGCCCCTCCCCCCAGGCCCTGCTGGGCACTGAACCTCAGAGAATGGGGGCTCCTCCTGCTCTTGGCGATGAACCATAGACATTCTCAGCCGACGCCACAAATCGCTCATCCGTCAGAGTGTGGCCGGGAAAAGCTAGGAGGCATGTGGATGGGGGCCGTATTCTGGACTCCGGAGGCTCCAAATTCCCGTTCCTGTTTAATCCCGGCCGCCTGCTGGCCTGAGACCGGGCAGGATGATCCGGGGATGAACTGGGAATAAAACCAGAACTGTCCTTCATTTCCTCGTTTTTTCAGCTGTGCTGCGGGCGGATGCCTCCTGTGCATAAGAAACCCCCAAGGCCTGGTTTGAAAAGACAGTTCATTTCCTGACTTTGGCCTGGAGCTCCTGTGAGATGCAGCCAACTGACCACCACGGCCCATCCCTCAGCCCCGGCCACACCGGCGGCCACTTTCTCGCAGATGAGCTCGCTCAGCCAGGATGTAGCAGGCGAGGATCCAGAGCCTGCGTTCCACCTACTGTTCCGTACAGAGTAGGAGCCGCTCCTTGAATGGCCAGGGTCAGCTTGGCGCCGTTCTGCTCATTTTGCATTTCTGTCTCCCAGGACTCTTGCTAAATGCCCATCGCGTCCCACAACCCTCCATCCCTTCCCCCTTTTCCTTATCCGGCGAGAAGCAGCATTTCTCAGCTGATCTTTGCGCTGCCCAAGTAGAACGGCTCCCTGCAAATCTACAGGTGGGCCACAAGGCGGCGCCAGAGGATCGCGTATAAACCCGTGCAGAGACACCCTGGAACCCCACTTGTGAGCCTGAACCCAACAGTGGGGCCGTGCGTAATTCTGGATAAAGTGACTGAACCTGGAGGAAGCTAAAGGAAGCCAGAGGGGCCTGAGTGCAGAGAGCAAGAGCGAGAGTGCTGTCTGGGAAGGAAAGACGGGACACTGCTGTGCAGGGCATGGAGCCGAGAGAAGGCCGCTGAGGGCTTGCAGGTTCTTCAGTGAAGGGATGGTCTGCAGAGCCAGCGGCAGGGGAAGGAGATTCCCAGGATGAAGACAGTGGGAGCCCACAGCCGACTGAGAAATGGCCCCACTAGACAGATCTCCACACTCCAGACCCTCAACCTGAGACTTATGTGGCCAGAGAAAGGAAATGGGTGTCTTTGCATGTGTGATTAGGTTAAGGGCTTTGTGATAGCATCTCGAATTTTCCAGGTGGATCCTTGTGGAGAGCGGCTACAGCGTTTGGACAGGTTCCAGCCTGGGACTAATGAGAGGGCACGATCCTCTCGTGGCAAAGCCGCGTGCAAGCCCCAGCACAATGATAGCCAAAGGTAATGGTTGTGAGCTTGACCTTATGGTCCAAACCTGTGGTCCCACGTGGCTGAGTGATATGGGCTGCGGGAGGTGCAGCAAGTAAACATAGCTTGACCAGGTGCATGTAATTGAGTGGATTCAAAACCCGAGAGAACATTGTCAACATCTTGACCACGCCCTTACGTTGCCTCGAGAAATCTGGCTATAAAATAAAGACTCGGCTTGCAGGCCGTGGCGCTGTCTCTCCATCAGAGAGGGCAGCATTCTGTCCTAGACCCAGCTTTTTCTCTTGTCTGTCTTTTCTCAATCCTTCACCGCCCCCTCTCAGGCTCACCGAGCCTGGCCGTGCTGGCGCAGCACAGATCCTAAGTGCAATCACCTGTCCTCGGAAGAGGAAGGCGGAGTGAGATGACACTCACTGAGGCGGCGATGGGAAACGGAGCAGAGATTTGAAGGCTACGGCCTTGAAGACTGGGGCACCAGAGCCACAAGCCAGGAATGCTGGCAGCCGCCCCCCTTACCCCCCAAGCTAAAGGAGTCCCCCTCGGAGCCTCAGCTTCCTGGGGAGATAGCAGCTGCCTGCTGTTGCTATGGCCTTGGTGCTTTATCATTTCCTCTCCGCAGGGGGCGCCTTGCTGGACAAAGCCTACTATGTGCAGCAGGCAGCCCTGCACGTTCTTATTAGAAGCTGGATACAAAGTAACGCCCTGCCCCTTCCTGCCTCACACATCACAAGAACATGTTACAGCAGCTAGAATGCCCA